TGGACTGATTTTTGACCTCCCTTCACTTCCATCCAATCGTTACAGGAACTGAACCTGGCGCCCGACAAATCACGACGAAGTAATGGGCATTACAGTATACGGAAGGTTGCATCTGACTAGTTAACCAAGTCTCTAATATCTCGCCTTTGCACTGATAAGACTGATTCAAAAAGAACAAATACTCACCAGTGATTATTAATTTGTATTTCAATTAAATGCACGTAAAAATATTCTATTAAAAATAAATATTAAGAACTAAGTTCTCGTTCACGTGCCCCATGGAAGTAAACGAGAGATTATTCGAGTCCCACAGACCACCAGTGGGCCACAAACTATGACGGAACCACCAGAGTCACAGATTACATGTTCAGAAACGTTGCGAAAAGCCAATGAAAGAACTAAAATACACCCCGCAGGACCTCAGCATTTAGCTTTTGACTAAGCCCCTGGACATTCCTGCACTTTTAAAACGTCCATCTCCTAAGTTAAAGCTTTCGGTTAAGGTGGCATTTCAATCCCGAATTTTCGCTTCCACCACACTAAATTAAATTCATATTTCAACAGAACCTATGTAAAATAAAAGAAAGTCTTCAACTTACGCAAGTACTGTGGAGTAAGGTCACTTCGAAAGGAACCAAAAGTAATTCATAGATAATCAGTGGTCTACAAGAGAAAAAGCACGTCTTCAAACCCTATTTTTCTCGCGGTGCAACTTTCTTTATACGGCTTGGTACTTTGACAACAACTATTCCAACGTTCGTCGGTGCAGTTAAAACCTTTGTAGTTCGGTTACATTCAGAACATTCATTTCCTCATCATCTTACATTTATAAGTTTTAACATACAAAATAAAAGTAGTGAAGTAGTGTACACCGTAGGCGCACGTATGGGAGATGTTGGGTAGGGTTTTTAAGTCTTAGGAATATTAGAATTGGTAAACATTTTCTAAATTTTCATACTTCTATTTTTCTAGTTTAAATTGAATAACTGTCCTAAAATTGAATTGACCGTCCCCACGTTTTTAATTCATTTTTTTACCGAATGTAATAACCGAATAGTTTTATAATACATTCTCTTATTATGAATACTGTTATCATTATTATTATTATTATTATTATTATTATTATTATTATTATTATTATTATTATTATTATTTTATTAGTAGTAGTATTATTATTAGTAGTAGTATTATTATTAATAGTATCATTACAAAATATATTATCTTCCTTTGTTTTTCTATTTCTCTCATAACTTGAACTCTTGACTCGATGTGATTTCGCTTGTATACCTACGATATTCCCTCCTTTTCTATTTGGGGGGGGGGTAATTCAAAAATACATACGGAATCTTAGCTCCTTCAAAACCTCCTAGAAATAACTAGTAGTATTTATTAACGTTTCTATGACTTCAACAGGCTCCTCCCAATTCTCTTGTGTACCCAACTTGCTGAGTCACAAAATATAATTTCTCTAATTCTGATATATTTATAATTAAATTTAATACATACCTAACGTGCAATAAATAAATTTAAACTCACAAATGCTATGAGAGCATTCTCTTTCCTAACAACTTCTTCCTCCCTCGCTTTTATTTCTGTCTTCAATGTGAGAAACGCATCTTTCAAATTGCGAACGTATTTATCTTTGAACGACCTTCTTATCATGAACAATTGTATTTTTTTTTTTTGAAAGTGATCAGGTGGAATAGCAGGCTAAATGGCCTGAGACTCGCCACCAATAAAGACATTATTATTTATATAAGTCAACAAATGTCAACTAAAAGTTCATAAAACAAAAGTTTTGGTTCCTAAGGTCCCATCTTTACAAACAACATGTAGTTTATAGACAACTTAGTACCACCGACCAGCAACTGAAAAAGCACCTCACCAACCCCTCACGGGCGAAGCAAATTTTCCTCACAACTGGCGGCCCGCGAGCTGCGCCTTGGACAGCCCTGCTCTATTGAAACGTCTGTCGTCGCAGTTAAAACCTTCGCGCTCAGGTGATGTTTCCAGTCAGAACATCCGCTCCCCTGCGACCTTCTTTACAACGGGCTATTCACGAGGCCGAGAACCTCCCCCGGCGGTGACTTGCCTGTGAGCGGCTCAGCGGGAGTCTCCAAGCATCGGTGCACTTGCGTATTTTTGTGTGCGACTTTTCAAAGCAAACGACCCGTACAGAAAAGAAACGCGGTATTCATGTCACCCGGTGTCTGTCTACTTATCCTTTTGACGGTGAAGTTTAGATTCACTCTGCTTGCGTCTTGCGGTTTTCACCCGAAATTCGCATTTGCATAGTATTCGAAAGCGATGTCGTCGTAAAAAGGGATGTCTCAGGACGGGATGTAGAGGAGTTCTAAAAAGAAGGTTGCCGCGGAAAGTGTATGAATATGAGAACTTGCCTGCGCTTTTAATTCATGTGAGTCGCTTCGTGATGCACTTGACGTTAAGGTTTTTGGCAAACAGCAGTAATGAGGTAATGCTATGCTCTCACTACACACTTTGATGTTTTAATATTGCGCTTCTTAAATAAAAAAGGTCATCCAACTTTTTATTTCATCTACTGTATATTATCCTTTTCCTTCTTCCAAGAAAGCATAAATTATAAGCCAAGTAATTATTTCATTGTGTCTTTAAAACAGTATTCGAAACAATTTTCAGGTTATTTTTTTCTTTTGAAGCTGAGTAATAAATATTCAGAATATAATTTGAATTTAATCAATCACATTTGGAAAATTATAAAAAAATTTTTTTTTATTTATATAAAACATTTTCATTGCAAAACAATTAAAAAAGAAATGCATAATATAAGGGTAGGATTAGTAGGCTTACTATCTCATTACTTTTATGCGAAAACAAATACTTCAGTAACTGATCAATGATCGAAATGAGAGAGAGAGAGAGTTAAAAATGGTTAAATTATTAATTGTCAATAACTTAAAATAAGACTTAATTTGTTCCGAATGCATTTAGAATTTATTTGGCGGATCATGGCCAAATAGTATAACCTTGCAGTCGGTACAGATGCGAAAGGTACATTACCAATTTTAGGAGCAACTGAGGCAGTAGGAGATGGCATTAGCAAGTTTATGTGAGCAACTGACTCCTGCTTTCGTTCAGTTGTTTTGACAGACGTCTATGCGAGTACACGTATAAGGTAGACGGAACTTTTAGGTACCACAAACATTTGATCGATTATTAAAATCGTGTTCAAACTCTTGTTTGTGGAACATTTGTTAAAGCGCGAGAAAATTAAATTGTGCATTCAAATTAACAAAGAAATGCAAGTCAGAAAGAACGATGGGAATGTTTTTCGTTACAGAATTGATGAAACGGAAATTTCAAACGATGCATACACGTCACGGTAGACAGACAGTTATAAAAGAACTAATGAGTAAAATGAACAAAAAAACCAACAAAAAAACAAGCACTAACGATTTCAGACAAAAAAAAGTGGAGTAGTACAAAAACAAAACTGCGCCTTTGGCGCAGTAAGTTTAGGTGAGAGAATCAAGTGGATTACTGTACAAATATTAATAGAAAGGAAAGGTCAAATGAGTTCTCGGACAGGCGGGTGGTTGAACGGACAGGTGGACGGACATATGGTTGGACTGACAAGTGGTTGGACGGACAGGTGGTCGGAGGGACGGCTGGTCGTGAAAAGTGCTAGACAGAAGGACAACTGGTCGCTCAAACTGGTAAACAGGCGGTCGAATGCATGGACAGTATAGGTTCGCAAAGGGTCAAGCACTTGTGTCCAAGTAACAATCACTAAGCAAAACCCTAAACTACGTCTAAGCAAAGAGCCAGTTAACGTAAGGGCCAAAGACTCACCAACTCGGAGGCGTTCTGGTGCGGCAGCATGTGCACAAATTTGCGCGCGAGGCGCTTGGCGGGGTCGCCGTCGTCGAGGGCGACGAAGTGGCTGGTGTAGGCCGGGAAGATGTGCACGTGGCGCACGGCGGCGTCCACGTCGGCCAGCGAGTCCAGCTCGCGGGCGTAGCGCGCGCGCGACAGGTGGCTGGTGAGCGAGCCCCCGAACGCGTTCGTCGCCACCACCGACGCCACCGACAGCAGCAGCCGCAGCGCCGCGCGCCGACGCCGCTGTCCGGAGGCCTCGGCCTCGGGCGCGGACGGCGCGCTGAACGAGCCGGTCACCGCCGTGCGCAGCTGCGGACGCCGCGCCGCGCGCCGGCTGCTCGGTTAGTTCGAGTGGTTGCGAGCGCGGCAACTGCTAAAGCCGGTAGTTCCGTAAAGGGAGGGATTATTTTTTGTGGAGGGGAGGTGACGGTGATCTTTCCCCGCTAGAATATAGGATCAGCTCCGAGCTACCCGTCGTTTTTTGATCGTTTTAGAGATTCCGGGCACATCAACTACTAGGGTCATTAGTTCCGTAAGTCTGGTGCATGTTTTGCTCGGGAGGTGGCGGTGATCTTTCCCCGCTAGACTATAGGACCAGCTCCGAGCTACCCGTCGTTTTTTGATCGATTGTTTTACCGATTACGGGCACATGCGAAATCCGGCGCCGACCTACCATCGGTTAGAGGGGTTTTCCGCAACCAGGTATCTCCCACCAGTGGAGCACCGCACAGTGCTGTGCGTGTTAGCGTAAGGGTGTGCGTAAGGTGAGAGGATAGGACAAGAAAGAGGTAGGAAAGAGCGCGCCGGTTTGGTAGGGTATGCTCCGGCATTTGCATAGTGTTGATTGGAAAAACCACGAAAAACTACCGATCAGAGCAGTCGTCCCTTAGAATTACCCTCCAGACAGCGACTGAATTCGACCTAGCTGACAAGGTAGTGTCGAAAATCCTTCCGTCATTGGTTCTCGAAATTAGGATCTTCCGGTCAGAGGTACTGCAGTGACGTCATTCCAGGTTCTGAGCCACATCTCCCGACTCCGATTAATACCAGGCGAATGCCGGAGCAGTACTCTTACTAACTGGTTACTGATCAAGCCCGATCTTTCCTTCCTCTTCCTTCTTCCGTTCTGACCCTTTACGTACACACGCACACACACTTACAAGCACAACACTACCACACATTCCAGGAGACCGGATGGAAGCTTGTCCCAACTGGAGCGGTGCCCTGCTCGTGGGAGATACCTAGTTGAGGAAACCGCACTAGCCGACGAGTAGGTCGGCGCCGGATCTCACCATCCAGCTAGGGAAGATCCCCGCTACCTTCCGATGGAAAAATCATGCACTACTCTCAGGAAGATAATGACCTTAGCAGTAAAAGAACACGGATCAATCAATCAATATTAATCGGAGAACACGGAATACTACCGATCAGAGCAGCCGGCCAGTAGAATTCTCCTCCAGACAGCGACTGAGTTCGAATGTCGACAAAAATTTTGAAACTAATTACTTTCAAAATTCTGCCACCGTCGGGACTCGAACCTAGGATCTCTTGAACAGAGGCACTGTAGTCACATCAGTTGATACCCTCAGCTACCTCTACTACCTCTCCCGGTACGCGCGCCCCGATGGTACTTGTTAACGAAGCTACATTGACAACAATAGTTCGATGTTGCCAAATACTCAATGTTAAAAATTAAGACATCCACGTTAATAATACATCGGCCATATATAACAGTTTATAATTGAAATTCAACTGAAAGTAAAGTTATAAAACGCGTCTCCAAAATGCGACGAAAACGAAGGAAATACTAGAACATTAGCCTCAACTCTAGTCTACTTGATCAAAATGATACAAACCGCGTACGTTTGGTTAGAATACATACGCACAGTGCTACCATTAGTTATTTTTCATTCTAGAACAAAACTTTGAAAACCTGAAAACAATGAGCACAAAACATCGATGTTCAAAATAAATCGGATTCAATATATCGATGATCTAAAACGATGTTTTTATAGACTAGTCCCTATTTTGAAAACATCGATATTGAACCCTAGTGATTGTGAGAAATGCTTGCAGAATGAATGACTGATTGACGTTTCCGGGTACCGCAACGCCTTCGGTTATTAGTCCCGTTACTGCAGTGCATGTTTATCTCGGGATGTGGTAGTAATTCCGGCTTCAACTCACCGTGTCGAAGAACGCGTCAGAAGCCACGCGCGGAAAGGGGCGTCTGGTGGCAGCTGTGACGACCTCCCCCGCCACGAAGGCCAGCAGGCTGCCCCCGAAGGCGGCCCACGTGACCGGGGAGAAGATGCTCACAGCGCCCTCTAGGAACGGGATCTGATCCGCTCGGCGCACCTGCGTGCGCGTGCACAAGGTTGGACGGGTGTTAAATAAAACGCAGAAGTACGATACTCTAAGGAGAACATATCTTCGCTGAAGAAGCAAAACGTAACTGACGTTCTGACTTTTTTTTCCGTTTTTGATCCCTGGTCCCAAAGGCCAAATCTCGGATTGTGTCGGAAATGTAATATAGCCTATAAAAATTGTTAAATTACATTTACCATGCTATTAAATGGTAGCCGTAATGTCAGGTATGCTAAAAGAGTGCCAAGGATGTCAGCTACGCGGTGATCTTTCTTCAACGAGGATATACTCGTAAGTTCCTCTGACATTTCGTTATCAGTAGTATGGATAACCGTAGAATGTCGTTGGTTTGGTTTTCGTATTTTCCTGCCTTTATAAACAATATTAAACAAAAATTTTTACAATTTTTTTCCGCTCTTTACTTGCAAATATTACTAATATTTGCTGCTGAAAGGAATCGCGTAAAATAATTTTCCGAAGAGTAGAACGCACTGTGCTCAAGAATATAAAATAAACAATGCAATAACTATGCTATTTGAACAAAAATAATCTTTACGAATACTGAAATAATATAATACAATATAATATATACAGAGTCTATTAATTTCATACTAATAACATGAAAATGTTGCCGTTTGATTACGCACTATGTGAATAACAAATATTTAATTACGTGTGGCGTCTTCCTCGAAGCCTTACTGACGGACTACGTCAACTGTTTGTAATCAGTGGCATACTGTGTATGTAATTAAATCTGTACGCGTAGAATTAAATTGGATAGAAGAAAACAATCAAATATTTGTATATTTCAATCGAAATAGAAACTGTTTATTTATTTTTCAGTTTTCCCGAGTTCCTTATTATTTAACGATAACTTAGACAATTCTCACAAACGACAATTTATGCGCATATTCTAAATTAGTTATATAGTTTTGCTTGAGAGGAAACTATAAGTCTTTAATATCTTTTTTTTTTTCACCGCAATCCATTTTTCAACAGTTTGTTTGTTCCCTTGGCAAGTTTTCAACTATATTTTGTTACATTTATTATGACAGTGGATCGCTGAAGTCTGTTATCATATTATTTTTCATTCTTTGAATATGTCACGTTTAAAAACCATTAATTTCTGCTCGGAATTTTTAATGATGATAAATGTAGTTTGTAATATTTTGCTAATAAACGTGATTTTACACGTGGATATTTATGTTATTTTTTGTGAAGACACTGGTTTTAAAACTGATATACTACATTAGTGTTAAATGCTTATAATTAAGTAAACTGGTACTGTTTACCTCCAAACAGTAATCGTCTTGCACATGTGGGTAGAGATATTGTAGAACTGGGGCCTTCAAAATAAGGGTACTGAATGTTATAAGAAGTACTCGCCCTCTGAAACGAAACAAAAAAAAAGACTGTAAATGAGTGTAGGTAAACTTTAATTAAAGAACGTGGAAATGATATTGGTTTAGAAACATTAAAGTTTGAACATTGTAGGAAAATGTATAGCTGGAGGTAGTCGGTCTTTGCATACGCAAATTAAGCCGTAAGAATAATTTTGTAATGTAATATTGTTTGAATTTTAACAAAATAAAATATAAAATAATAAAAATCACTGAAAAGTCAAGGTATGCTACACACAATCATGTGAAAAAATGGTAATATTGAGGTAATGTGATTGCAATAATGAAGTGAAGACCCAACAGTCCTGTAGACCATTTCATGAGAAGAAGAAAAATAATATACGTACTTCCACATCTTGTCTTATTATGGCGTAAAAAATAATGTGCAAATGAGAAATAACAAAAACAAATAACAGAGAGAATTAAGTGACGACCGATCTCAACCAACAAGGATTAAGATAAGCTGTCTTATCATCTATCGGGAACAATGACGTAACTTGAAAAGTGGACGAAATGGAGAAAGTTAATCAGTCATCTCCTTCGCCCTATCTTTATTTCTCTTTCTTGGTCCTCTTTTTTCTCTCTACCCCTCCCACCTCTCTCATTTTGTATCCCTCTCCCTTTCTATCTCTCCCTCCCTCTCTTTAACCTTTTTTATTCCTCTCTATCGTATCTCCCGTTCTATGTCTATCTCTCTCTCTTTCGATCTCTGTCTCCCTTTCTCCCTTTCTAACATCTCTCATTTTCTATCTCTGTCCCTTTCTATCCCTCTCTTTGTATATCTCTCTCCCATTCTATCCCCTCCCCATTATATCCCTCTCTCCCATTCTATCCCTCTCTCCCTTTCTATCCATCTCTCTCTTTCTATTCATCTCTCCCTGTCTATCCCTTTCTAACCATCTCTCCCTTTTCATTCTTTTCTCTCTTTATATCCCTCTCTCCCTATATATAGAACCTCTCATTTACTATCTCTTTCCCTTTCTATCCCTCTTTCCCTTTAAATCCTTCTCTCCCTTTCTATCCATCTCTCCCTTTCTCCCTTTACCTCCCTCTGTCTTTTTCTATGTCTCTCCCTTTCTACCCTTCCCCCCCATTTCTCTTCCAATCTCCCTCCTTCTGTGTGCGCCTGTGCTCACGCGACGATGTCGACGAGGTGGCCGGTGTAGGAGCCGTTGGGCTGGCGCGCGCCCATGCCCTTGGCGTAGGCGTCCAGGCAGCGCGCGCCGCGCAGCCGCGCCACGCGCTGCACCAGCAGCCGCCCCAGCAGCTGGTCGGCGTCGTCGGGCCGGAACGGGCCGGGCGCCGCGCCGCGCAGCTCGGGCGCGCACGCCAGCATCAGCACGCCCGCCCCCGCGCCCGCGCCCGACGTCCCCGCGCGCAGCGTCACGCGCGCGTACGACCGACCGCCCCACCTGCGCACGCGAGGGGATTGGGAGGTGTTACACGCACTGGAGTCATGTGATGCGGAAGGAACGACGGGAGCAAGTTACTTATGCATCGTATGTTAAATCCAGGCAACAGCCGAAGTTTGTTACTAACGTTATTTCCGTGGTCTGCCGAGTCTCGTTGAATACTTTCCATAAAACCTCCTACTTAGAAAAAAATATGATCAATCAGAAGCTACGTTCTTTGAAATAAGTATATCCATACGTCATATTAGAAACAAATGAGTTGCAACAAATATGACTGCAACTCATTTGTTTCTATTGTTCTAAACGGACGGTGGAATGTTTACTTAGCGGACGCTGCATGTTAAGTGGCGGTTTTGGTTCTTCTGCTTCGTTTTATTACAAGGGTATATTAGTAACGTATTACGTACGTAACGTACGCTATATAAAAACAGAAGAGCTCCGTGGTTCATTAGCAACAAACAACTACGTGTCGTTTCAAATGCAAATGTAAGAGCTTAAAAAATGACATTCATATCTACGAAATACTTCCCTCCCTTCATTCACCCAGACTCGAGAAAATCGTAAATTTAAAACAAGCTTTTAAAAGTAATTTTCCTTTCATTACTTTCTCCAAATTTTCGCAAATATTGAACAATTAATGATGTTTTTGTAGTTTTTTTGCTCAGTTGTTAAACAGACTACAATAATTTTAAATGACAAGGTTTGCTGTACATCCATCAAACAGTCGAAAAGTTTAATGTCAACTGATCAACGAAATTTAAATACTAAAGAATAACACTAAAAACGGCGGTTTTAAGTACAGAAATCTATTACGGATCAACTGGAAACATGATAACGTTAAAAGTGGTGACAAGTTTGTTTACCTGACACAAAATGCTGCGTTACAAGAGATGACCCTGAAATATTTGTTAGTGGTTTCCGTTAGAATGAAAGGGTTAACCAGAAAAGAATGACAGAAGCAGATTTTTAAGAGCTTGCCAAAACTAAGCCTTGAGGATGATGACTGGAATGAAGGAGGTACAGAAACCGTACAATAACTCGCTGAAAAGGAGACAATATCGGGACTACAGTAAATTTTATAGAAATTTAGCTGCTGTCAAATATCTGTTATAGTCTGCATTCGAATTAGGACCTTTAGGTCTTCGTAGCTTCGCTTGCTAACTCAAAAAGATCCTTTAACTCGGTGAACTATTTCCTTTAGGGCCGTTTTCAAGGAGTCTTAAGAACTGATTTGTGACGCTATGATATATATCGGAACCGATCGCAAGTACAACCACATGGACCAGATTATCCAAAACGGTTTTTACTCAACGAATCATCATGGATCAGCGTCCTGCCACGCCACCGCTCCTGTCCAGCGCAACAGCAAGATCTTACTCTAGGCCGACGGCGTGCTTGACGTCGAAGTGGCTGAGGAGGAAGCCCGCGCCGAAGGTGCTGGGCGCCTCGACGGCGACGGCGGCGCGGGTGGACCAGAAGGAGGCCTCGCGCAGGAGCACTAGCAGCGGCAGCAGCTCGGCATCCTCGCCCAGGAGCAGCAGCAGCGCTCCGGCGCGCGGCACCGCCGCCCCCGCCACGCGCCGCCAGAACAACGGTGGGTCTGCGAACCACCAGCGACATGGTAGAGATTCGGTTGTCCGAGACTCGGTAGTCCGAGACTCGGTAGTCCGAGACTCGGTAGTCCGAGACTCGGTAGTCCGAGACTCGGTAGTCCGAGAATCGGTAGTCCGAGAATCGGTAGTCCGAGACTCGGTAATCCCAGACTCGGTAATCCCAGACTCGGTAATCCCAGACTCGGTAATCCCAGACTCGGTAATCCCAGACTCGGTTATCCGAGGTCCATGCTATTCCAAATAAAAAAAGCCTGACTTGCGCCAAGTCACCAAACAAGCGGCGAAAAAATGCTTCGTACACCTCCAGAGGGGACATGAAGCTCCCTCTCCTCTGTAGTAGATTACTGCATGTAAAAGATCCTCAAGTCTAAAAGAACCTTTGAGCAAAATGCAAAACGTCTATTGTGTCGCCCGAATAATACCTTCTCTCTCCACAAGATGGTGAAAGAAGTACAGTAGCTAAATTTGCCTCGACAGATGGAAGAGCAGGCCTAATGGGCTGAGTCTCGCTACCCTTACTGGGTTGGCAACACTCCGTGGAAGGGCACGGGTGGTAGGTGCCGGTGTCAGTCTGTCTGCCACGATGTTTTCACCGGTTCGCGCTCATTTATGCATGAAAATCTATAATTTTAATACTAGTATCTGTACATTAATTTTGACTTCGTTATACACTGTAGTTGGAAAGTACGTATTGTAATCCGAGGTAACATCAGCTCCAATTACTTTGAATTACTGCTGCTCTACTGTAGTCACTTGGCTTCCGGAAAACGTCGTGACTTGGCGATGGTGGCTAACTTTTCAGATGTCATACCGCGTCTTCCTGGCGAAATGAGAAAGGTACGACGTTGGCTACTGTGCCTAGGACACAGCGTCTCCCGGACAGCGAAGTATCTATTGTCTCAGGTCACGGAGGCATACGCCTTCATTTGACTGCGATACTATTGGGGCAGGCCAGTCCCCCGGAAAGCGGTGACTTTAACGAAAAACTTCTGCGTGTCTAGGCAAGACGTAGGCGTTTCCGAGAAGTACATCAACGGATGCTGGCATCACGGCAAACAAGGTAGAAACCAGAGTGAAGTTGTGAGTTAAAAGACGAGTTATGAGAAACCTAGGTACTGCGAAATGGATAGTGGCCCGGAATACTCTGTTGACAGAACTGTGACTTGTGCTATGTAATATGGATTTAATTTGGTATTTTCGTTACGGATTTTGGGCACGGTTTTCCCTTCTAGATTATTGGTATTCTTCGTTAAAGTGTGTGATACAGAAGTGGTTTAGTAACATTGTAACTTTGCTGTTATTACTATTTGTTTCTCCGCGGTAAACATTTAAAATATTTTCGGCCAATGAACAGCAAGCTTATGTATCACTCAGGTACGTATAAGGAAGGCATTATAAAGACTATTTATGGAGCCCTACGTGTAGTGACTGAGAAAGATGAGCCACGTTTCTTCATTAACCGCGTGATATAGCTGAAGCTACGTGAGTCTGATAACCTGCTAACGTTTCCGCACATACCCCTACCATGTCTCTAGCACCAGAGTTGAGTGTCCTTACAAACTTCTTGAGTGAATCTATTGATTAACATCTTTTTACATGAATGTCCCTAAAATACGGGGAAAATTGAAATGATCCTGCGATAGCTTCGCATCATCGCAACACGCACGCGTGAAGTTTGCCTGGTGGGGGTGGAGGGAGGCGACGAGGCGCGGCGCGGAGGGCAGCAGCGCGAGGGCGTCGGCGGCGGCGGCGTCGGGCGGCCCCGACAGCAGCGCCACGGTGAAGGCGTCGCCCGCCACCACGCGCCGCAGCTCCGCGCCCAGCAGACGCGCGCGCCGCAGGTCCCCGGGCAGCAGCCGGCCGGGCGCTGCGGAGAGATTGCGCAACCGCTAGAGCAGGGATCCCCAACGTTTTCCTTGTGTCCGGCCCTTTTGAAAGAAAGATTTGCTTCATCAACCTCTTTTACTTTGAGTTTCTCGTCCTTTATTCCTAAGAAGATAACGTATTGGAATCGTGCGGCGGAAACGGAAAATTTTCGGTAGAAAAATTTTTATTGCCGAACCCTGGTGAGGAAAAAAGGAATAAATGTGTTTCATTATTGTAAGTTATTTATTCTCGAACATGTAGCAAGAGTGCATGTTGATAACGAAAAAGTGTTTGACAGCAAAAAGTCTTTGTGGCTGTAGTCAACGCTATCGCTGAAACCGTTCAACAGATTTTTCCAAAATTTATATTCTTCGATTGATTTAAATGAACTCACTTCCCTGTGTGTTTCAAACGGGTACATCGATTTTTGGGGATATTTAACATGCATTAAAAACCTTTTTTTGACAATTTTCTGAATCATGGATCCAAATATTTTGAATAAACTTTGTCCTCGAATAGCGTAGAGTACGCTAAAAACTATGACATGGGCCTCTTGAGACAGGATTACAATTACATGTAACCCTTCCGAGAGAATGAGTTTTAATATTGCGTAGTATTGGATGAAATAAAGACTGCTTTAAATCACTATTTTCTCAAAAACGGGTCCAAAGTTTTTATTTAGATTGTTTCCATGTATTATAAAAAATGGTGAAAAATCGGAGATACTACGATTTTCAGTGAACTCTCTGTATTTTAACAACTTTATTTACAACAGAGACAATAATCAAGAAATATAAAAACTTTTCTTACAGTTTTTGCAATCAAAAGGATCTCGATTACAGATCATATTTT